GTCTCGCACAAAACGCTCGTTCTGGAGACTTCCGCGGCTCACTTTTGGAGGAAGTCTCGTACGAAGCACTCATTTTCACTAGCAAATGCTACCTTCGAAGCACTACCGAATGATGCGTGTTCCAAAATGAGCCGTGAAATTGGTCTCACGCTGCAGTCCCGGAGAGTTTTCTTTTCGTCTGGGTTCCAAAATGAGCCAGGTTCCAAAATGAGCCGTTTCTAGGTTCCAAAATGAGCCGTGTACCGATATATAAGCAGTGAACAGGCTGAACCGGGATTGTAAGTATCGGGAACTTCTGGAGCGTGTGACTTACATTTCCAGAGGACTTTCTTTTCGCTTTATGTTGCGCCTTGCCCAAGGGAGCACGCCTTTGTCCTTTTGGAGTTGTTCTGAGGGACCTGTCGGTTGCCAATCCTATTGGCCACACCACATCTGAGGGACCAAAATAGTTTGGCAATCCTTGGATCGCCTTCGATATCATGATTCAGGTGTGGAAACAAAAGCAAGCAATACTCAACAAGTGACATCAAGTGACACCCGTTGTGCCTGCAAACCCACTGGGGAAGCCCCAAAGATTGGTACAGCTCCAGGACTTCGACCGGGAGAGGCCCTCAAGGTCTCCGAGTCGAATCCGGACAGGTGGATCTTTTGAAAACATATTTTCCTCCAAGTCTGGACATTAAGAGACCAGTGATTCACCAGAAGTGCCCAAGAATTGATGTTCCTGAATTCCACCATCTGTGAGGCTTTGATGAAGCGCTTGCGGAGGACGAAAGGCTCTTTGGCCGGGCCACTGAGAGTTCTGGTCAATCTCGATCACAGGTGGCCATGCAAACAATCCAAAACCATGGCCCAGTACGTCTCGTTTGAGCAATTCCCACGCATGACAGACGAGACCGTTCGATGTTGGCGTTTGGGTTCTGGCAAAAGCTGAGACTCAAGGTCTTCAGTTACACACAAGAGATTCCAGGAGTCACGTCGGGGTGGTGTTTAGTCCCTAAGTGAGTGGATGTTCTGGGCACCCCTAACCTCCATGATAGCACCCCCCGCATGGAACTGCTGGTTTATAGTTGTTTGCACCTGGCTCTTTGACCGAGCTGGATCCCCTGGTGCAAGAGGAATAGGCCTGCAAGAGGTCATCAATTGGAAACTCCAAAAGGAGGTCTCTTTACGGAAGCTGGCAATAGGAACCAGGATCAATCAGGGAAAATGCGGACTGATGGTTTGTAGGTGGTGGACATCACAGGTTGTTGATGGATGTTGATGGTATTTCGTGGGGAAAGCTTGATTCAATCCTAGAAGTTTGCCAATCCAACACGTCACAATAAGAATTATCATCCGCACGTCCCGGCACTTCGCTTCTTGTACCTGGTAGAAGATCATCCTCATTCAAGATCCTCAGTCCCAAGTGTTCTTAGAAGTGAAAGGCCAAGGGTCGCCATGCAGTCTTCATATGATATCACCAGATCGGCACGGTCCATCCCCCACGTCCGCCACCGGAAGCGGAGCATCGTTGTCCCTTCGGAGCATCGTTCTTCTCCGCGCGCGCCGAGGTGGGTGGCGGAGCCGTGGCGGTGCTGGTGGGCCACTCCTACATCATCCGTCTCTCGGTGACCGAGAACCGACCGCCGAGAAGAAGGGAGAAGAACCCGGGACGAGCGGCCGGGTGGTGTTTTTGTGGTGGAAGGCACAGTGGTTGGTGTAAGGAATGGGAAGGTGTTGAACTTCATGAACGGAAAACAACTCCTTTTTTTGCCACCACTCACCCAGTTTGGGTGTTTATTTTATGGATTGATGGATATTTTTATAATAGATAGTCAGTGGGGTCTATAAAATTCTATAAACCATCCGAGGTTTGGCGGGTGCTGGTAGATCCCCCAATTCCAAAAGCTTTTACTCATGTCGTGGACTTCAGACCGGTGTCCTTTCAACGGCGACTCAGTCGGGGCCGGTCTCTCCCCGTTGAAGAGTCTAAGAGGTGACTGGTGAGGTTGAAGAATTGCAGAGATCAAGGAGTGCTTCAAACAGAATGATCTCAACGGTTCAAAGTGGCAAAAAAACACGAGGATTCCACACGATTCCTGAGAGGTGTTGGTCTTATTGGATTCTTGAACTTAAATACGTGCAGCCTACAGGTTCCAATGTGAACACATGGAACAGTCTTGTCTCTTGTCGTCCACATTCGGCGCGCTGACCGGAAGGGGTTTGATCTCAGGAACTATCTTCGACGCCTATCTCATGAAGGGCACCCTGGCCGCAGCAGGCTCTCATTGGAGTCCAGTGCATGCGGATGCGGCTCTGGTCTGGTCTGGTCGGGAAGATGGAGATCATCCTGGTCATGGGATCAGCTCGGCGGTGGGGACGATTTCACTGTCACACAATGTCACACGACACTGAGACGTGAAAGGTTGCGGTCGACCTGTTGGTTCTTAGCTCGGGGTAAATGGGTCTTCGCTCCGAAGGACGATCATTTAGTTGTTTTGCTCGTTCTCAGGCGTTCTGCTTGGGAATTCGCGGTCAATGACATGGTCCTTGCTGGACAGTCTAGTATCGTGGGGAAGGATACTATTGTACTCTCTTGGTGGCGAGGTGAAGAACACTGCAGGACACGTTGGATTCGCTGGCCACAGGAAGGCCCTGAAGTGTCCCGCTAGTCCGGGTCAGATGTTGTAGGCCCTTCAGATGTCCTAGGTTTGTGTATAGGCTATGTGGACCCTTGCATCAGATGGACACCATCCTTACAACGCCAACGAGCGCACGTTGGGGCCCGACAGCTTCCTCCCCACAGACCCCGTAGACGTCGGGTGCCGTCGGAGGCGCGGCGATGCGGCGCCGCGCCCAGGTGCTTCGACTCAGTACCGTTCGCTGCGCTCCAAGTTGGTGCCTTGCTGCGGGGTGGTGGCCGCCAGGAGACCACCGGTGGATTCGTCCTTCGTGTCCTCCACAGCTGTTACATGCGCATGCTGTATATTGATATATTGTGTATAATATGTAATATGTATTGTCTAGTGAGTCTAGTACTGTATATCATATATCCCATCCAAGAGTTGCTCATGGTCCATCGATGAACTTTGGGATTCTGGTGCTGTAGATCAGCCATGTAGGTGTTTCTCTGCAAGGACTTAGGAGTCAAAGAACCTGTGGATTCTTTTGATGTTTCCTAAAACACCTTGTGACCTGGTCAAGCAACCATGTGATTTCTCCTTCTTCTTTGGAGTCTTTGGAGCACCGTCAGTGACTTCAATTGCTGGTGCCTGCGATCTGCGCGGATTTGTCTCCTGGATCGCTCACACCCGGTCGCAGGATTGCCTGGGATGAGAAAGGCCAGGACCTATCCCGATCTGTTTAGGACATCGGTTTCGGTCTGTGCCATCTACTCTGAAACCACTGTATTAGGAAAACAGAAAATAGTAATGGACCTAGGCCGTGTGGATATTGAGGATAGGATGCAGCAGCTTTTTCCACTTGCCTATGCATGGTTTAACAATGTTTAACAATAACCCCCCCCAAGGAAGTGGGGTACGCCTAGTTTCAGGATGTGAGAAACGCTACTTCCACCAGCATGTAATATAGGGATGTGACAAGTGATCGACAGTAATCAGACTGCAGATGGAGCCTGGCGGGGCACCGCCTTAGGCGGCCGAGCTCAGGCTTCCCTTCCATCAAAGAGGCCATGCCCTTGTTGCAGACCAAGCTAGCCACTGGCCACGCAGCAAATCGGTGTGTACTGGATCGAGATACACAACAATGATATTTTTAGATGGTTTTGGTCGATGTTCCTTCTTCTTCCCCTTGATTTGGCACTGGATGGACCAAATCAACCGGGGAGTTGTAAGGACTGTCGTCGTTGTACTCGGGGAAGGTGGTCGGGGAAGGTGGACGAGCTCCAACTGGGTAGTTTTGCTCCAACTGGTTCCAGGCTTACTTGTTCCAGGCTTACAGGTGGCATCATGAGCTATTCATACCTGTTCCAAGCTTACCTAACCCAACAGCTTAAATGGTCAGCGTGTTAGGTAAGCCTGTCAGATGGTCAGATTCCCCATCCTGGACAACCCATTTGACCCCATCCACAGATCCCTCATCCACCCGTGAATCCATCAAAACACACACCTCGTGTTCGAACACGGAGGCAATGCTGAGAAAAGATCGACATCATTCACCTTGAAGGGGTGAACAGACCTGCTGCTCATCAACTCGAGTTCGTTCAGAAATTCTGACTTGTCAGTTGTATCTTCATCACGTCTTTCATGATCATATCTCCCACAGATTGCCAAAGGTAAGAATCAGAAGCACCCAGAAGTATTACAGCAACTTCACTTTCCGAACGTGAAGCCGAAAGAAGGGTCGGGTCATATGGGTCGTGGCTCGTGACCGACCCCTGAGACCCAAAGAAGGATCAATAGAGTCGTCCTACCCGGTTTGGGATCTCAATAAAGTACACCTGTATTCGTCTTAGGGAGTGCATCTACTTCACAAAAGCAGCTCAGCACCGAGAACTGCCGGACTTTTTCGGCTGGGAGGACTGCAATGGACGAGATTCCCTTTGAAACCACCCTGAGGTGGTGGGCTGGTTGGAACGCACCAGTGGTTGGATCACAGATGATTCGTATGTAAACTTAATAGAACCCAAAGAACTAGTTGAACGCAGTTGTCCCGAAACAGCCGGTGGTCACGTAGACTGATCAATCTATACCCCTGTGCAGATGTACAGTATACTTTAGTGACCAACGGAGTCTACACTATTGTGTTTTTGTATGTTTTTGTGCTAATCTACTCAACTTCGGCATGGAAACCGAGCTCTTCCACCTCCAAGGAGCAACCTGATCCGAACGACCCGGAAGGAGGACACCGAGCCAGTAGCAGGAGAGCACAGATGGGAAGGAGTAGACGTGGGAGGAGATCCAATTCCGATCCTCATCAGGAAGTTCCACCTGTTAGCTGGGACTGCCCCCCACAAAATAAATCGTATTACACTCCCTGGAATCAACTAAGGAAGTGGAAAATGGCCCCCTTCAAAAAAAACCTTGAAGACCATTTTCCTCTACAAACAGGGGGTGAACTCCACTTCCCGTTCCTGGGAGAGTTGGAATCCTTCTTGGAGGATCCAGGGACCGGTCTCTCCGAGTCCGACTCTGCTTCGAACAAGTGAACGACGCCACACGGACGCCGCACGGAAGCCGAAAAGAACCGGTCATGAGGATTCTCATGGTGTATGTGTTGCAAAGCTTTATGTGTCATAACGCAAGAACACCGTTTCCTGATATGTCCAGTACTTACGTTTGTATTCCAGCTGATGTATGATGGTTTGGATGATATTTTTTACTGGTCGTCCCCCTTCATTTGTCGTCTCTAGTGCTGTGGCTTTGGCGCTGCTTTGAATGGAGATCCCGGTGTCCTATAGTAGAATCGCTTGATCTAAACCTACCCAGAGAATCTCATCCTCGAGTCTTCACATCTAGCCAACATATCGAGTGTTTTCCTTTCGCCAAGAGTGATTTTTAGAGTAGATGGCACAAACCCCAAGATGTCTTTGGGATGGGGGTCCATACAGACTCATTCCACTAGCAGTCACTATTTTGGGGCCCAGGAAATGTGTACTTTCTACTAGGACCTACTATATTCAGGATTTGGATGGACTTGGTGAACATATGTGATTCATGTGCACTTCTTGAGTTGACTCTTGACTCTGAACTTCTTGACTCTGCACTTGGTGATTTCGTGTGAATTTCCCATCAAACATCCCTTCCAGCCTTCCAGCGCACCAACCCAAAACCGTCCCAACCGGGCGGAATGAGGCGCCGAAAACGGACCGAAGATCCGCCGCTCAGGTTGCACCTGCGGACGGAACAAGGTGGACCTCCCCTGTGCCCGGAGCGCCTAATGCGCGAGCGCTCGTGTTTCACATGTGCGAAGGGGCACGAGTGAAGAGGCAAACTGGAGAGCATTATATATACAGACCCCCAAATCTACATAGAAAAGTAAAAGCCTTTTCAAACATACATTGGACACCGTGCCGTTATCTATTTGGATGGGTGGGCAGTTGGGGAGCCAAGCAAGCATCCACTCTGTATTTTTGTTGGGGCTTTTCGACCAGGTGATGCATTGATACATGACCATCCGGGACCCTCCGGCCGGTACAAGGCGAAAGTGCAGGCAGACATGTAGTGACTGGTGACTGTGTAAGATGTTCGGCACAGGTGAACACTGGACTTCAGTTGATGAGTCACAACATGCAGGCCATGACCTCGGAGGATAGAGGCCATTGCAGGTAAAGGCTTGCTCCGTCGATGGCATCTTTCTGTTTCGAGGTCAATCTTGGACCGAGGATGTAAAGGGTGTTGAGCAGAAAAAGAGACAACATTTGCCCTCGAAAAGATCTGGACGGATTTTTTCTTCGACATGGAATGGGTTCAGTCCGCCCTTCCACCCGATTCGGATCGACTGGCCTCAGGTCCTTTCCTGATCGACTGGCCTCAGGCATGCTTCTCGGCTGGGTGCGTCATGTTCTTTGTTGATTCAATTTGACTGATTACAAAGAAACAAAAGAAGCATGATGGTCCTTGTATGCCAGTGTTGTAGTGGTAACATGTTGTAACTACAAGTTGCTGGTTTATATTCCCCATAGGGATCCAAGTACCTTCTCAGAAGGTGATTGGAGACACACGGAGACACTGTTATGCAGGTTTGGAGGGTCCAAGTACCTTGTGAGGTACTTGGATCCTTAGGGATTATATGCTGGTATGGAATCATTTGGTCAGTCAGGTGGATGATAGTCCAGGTTTGGTTGAAGAAATAGGAACAGAGACGGAAGGTGATGTTCCTGTTCCAACTTGGCCTGCAGCATGTCCAGAATTGGAGGACATACATGTTGATGTGATACATTTCCAATTTGCCTCACATGTGAGTTCTTGAATGTGTATACTGTATACGTATATTTATCATTATTTGTTGACCCGATCATTCTTTGGTCTCCGAGACTGATGGCTGAAGTCTGTAATGTAGACCTTCTCGAAGTTTTGGAAAGACGCTTTCTTGCCCAGCCAGGTGGAGCTTTGGCGCCCATGCCTCCGCTTCACCTCAAAAAGAGCCCAGAGCCCAAGCGAAACCATGCCACGGCAGGGTCCCCGCGGACGCGGACGCTCGCTTGGTCCGACGACCGGGCCGAAAAAGGGGCGAGCCGAGTCGCGGCGATGCGAAGCGGCCGAGGGACATGTTTTGCAACACTGGGACCCAACAGAAGATATGCTTGCAGATCTCTCCCTTGGAGCTGCAAGACTTCAAAGTTCTATGGCTCAAGCTCCTTCAGCTCATTTGTCTTGTTACTA